CCTAATTGTACTTCAAAGGATGCTTTGGGTACAACTCATATATGCATGGTTATGCTAGATGACAAATTCTTGATTTTTGGGTGATTTTAGTTTGAATGATGTGTGAATAATTAGCACCATTTTGGAACTATTAGAGTATTTTTTTTTTAATTAATTGTTTTTCTGTTCATGTGATTAATTTAGCTTTCAAGATATTTTAATTTTTAATCCATTTGATAAGTATGTTTTTCTTCTCTATTTTCTTATAAATTTGTAATTAAAGATTTTGATGTTAATATGTGATTATTATTTGTATGAGCGGTGACATAATCAACCGTTGAAATGCTTGATTTTAGAAGAATCTAAACGTTAAAAATATATTAAAACTAATCTATACTATATTATAAAGTATATGGTAAAAACGCTTTATAATCATTTTTTATGCATGAAGTACTGTTTATTAATGCATATTACTTAAAATTCAAAATTACAAATAAATTGTGCGTAAGTATTAAAGCTTCATATTTGTATTTGTATAGCTAACTCCAGATAAATATAATCAAATAGAGAATAAAAATCTCATTTTAAATATAAAAAATCTAAATTATAATTACGATAATAATTGAGTTCTAACAAAATACTTAATTATTATTTATAAGAAAATTATATTATTAAACCAAATATAAATTACTTTGTTATTAAACCTAAATTAAATTATTATAAAAAACTGAATTAAAAAATTACACACAAATAGGAATTTTAAATAGTTAATTTGATATTAATATCGATATATTTTTGTCAAAATTTTATGATATCTTCAAATTTATATTTTATTCCAAAATAAGAACATCATCGCTTTTCCAAAATCACTTAAGACCATATTATAACATCGACTGAGATAAAGAATAAAATGAAATATTAAAATCAAGATGTATCTCACTGTATTGCGCGAGTACACTTCTAGTTTTTAATAATGTATAAAAAACCCTTTGTAATGTTTCTAAACCTAATATAATAGTCGAGAGTAATAGCTTTTAAGTTAACTTGAAATCATGATAGAAATTATTGGTAGGTTTTAAATTTATTAATATACTTTATAAAAGGATCCATTAGATACACCATTAACTTTGATTTTCTTTTCTTAATAAAAACCCTCCTTTTAATTATTACATGTAAATAATATATACCCTTTTTTTATTCTTACTAAAAATAAATTATTTTCTTACAATTAAACAGTTCATCTGTAAATAGTTTGTCCAACCTGTAGATCGTCGACTTTCATCCCTCATCGTTATCGTTCCATGTGGACTTCATTTTTGTAATTATTTTAAATAAACATGATCAATAGTGAAAACTAAAAATAAATCCAGATGACTGTAATCTCATGACAGATAAAGTATTTCTGGTATGATACATGATGGTTCGTGGAGCAAAGATGCACAAAAAGGCCTAGGACCAATTAAGACCCATTCAGTTACAGGCTATAGACCTGACAATTATGGAATTTCGATTCTATGAATCTTTGACTGGAATCTATGAGATAGGTGGAATAAAAATTTATACTTAACTTAAATCTATGCGTTTTTGGGATCTGCATGCTCCTCGTTTAGAACCTCTAAAGGGTCCAAATGGGTTGGAAGCTAATTCAACTATGAATCTCATGGAGAGTTCAATCATGGCTCAAGATGAACGTTTGACCGGTTCTTTGGGTCCAGATAATACGAAATGGTGAGTTGTTTATGAATTTTTTGGAGGAACCGATTAGGGGACTGGTTAAGCAAGACCAGTACCTTGGACGTGTCAAAAAATCATGTAGGACCGGTTACTCATCTTCACCTTATAACTAGGTCTAGAATAAGTTAAGATGCGGTATTTAACTGTTGAATAATTCGGTTAGTCTCAATTTTATTAATTTATTAATTTTGTATAAGTAAAATTAAAAATTGAAATAAAATATAAAAACCTTTACCTCCATTTTCAATTTCATGTTGGTTGAGGCAAAGAGTGAGAGTGAGTGATTTCCCATGTGATCTTATCCAATGTTTTCATGACATGGAGACAACATCACCATCATCATCATCATCATCATCATCATCATCATCATCATCATCATCATCACCATCACCATCCTACACACTTCCAACTTGTTTGGGTTTCAAATAGATCACCACTTAGCCTCCTAAGTAAATATAATATTACAAAAATTAATACATTTAATAAGAATAATTACTAATGAATTTTAATTAATAAATACATTGTATTTGCCTTAGATTTTTAAGAAATGGAATATGGAAAAAGATTGAAGTAAAGATAGTAATGGAATGATCTCTTTTGAGATATGCATGTGTTTTGGGGGATTATTTGGAGAAATCTGATACCAACATGGAATAAAACGGATTCAAAATGTACCAAGCAGATAATAACGCAAACCAATATTGATATCCACAATGAAATGATCAACAACACAATGATTTAACGTGGTTTCATTATTGTGGGATAATGTACATCCATAAATGAGAAATGGAGCGTTTATATTGATGATCAAATGGAGGAACGAATACAACAAGGTTTACCTTTAACAAATATCCTACAATATCAAGATCAAATGGAGGTTCAAACGAAAACACCTTCATTTTATGAGAACGCGAGAACATCTTTTTATTGTAGACAATCACATGTGATATTATTATTCCATCACATATTACACATGTGATATTAAATCAAAGACGCATGCGATTTTCTTTGCGATCTTGGTTGCGGGCCAAGTCGCTCTTACACCACTAAACCCCTTAACAAGTATCATCACGTGTGATAAGGGTGTTGTTGATATGATACCATCAAGACCATCACATGTGATGTTAAATCATAGACGAGATAACCTTTGGCGTGACATAAGTCGTAAAACATGTCGTCTGCATATCACAAAGTCCCCTCATGCGTATTATCACATGTGATAAGGGTGTTCTTGCGTTCTCGTAAAATAGATGTGTTCTCGTTTGAACCTCCACAACATATATATATATATATATATATATATTTAGAGAGAGAGAGAGAGAGGGTTAGATTGCAAATCGCTTATTTCATACAAACTATAGAAACCACCATCAACCAATAGAATAATTCCATGTTTTTCTCTTTATTGTTAATGAATAAGATTGAAGATCTTACGATTAGGAAATATTGTATTCACATGTGAAAGCCAATAAACTAAGTAGTCGCCAATGTTCATATGGTGTATATATTGTTCACATGTGTTTCAATATGTTCATAAAACAATATCTATGTACATCTAACATTTGGTCAATATGTGTTCACAAGCGAAACACTTTGATCATATATAATTGTGTTAACATGTGAAAGCCAATTACTTTATTGTTCATAAGTTTTAACAATATAAAAAAAAATAACTAGTTAACAAAAATCATGAGATTTTATGATTTTGTAACTCCCAATTAATGATATAAGAGTTACATAAAAAAGAAAATTACATATGTACTTTTGTCATTAAATTCTAAAATGAATATGAACCTAATACTAATATGTACTATGATGTTAAAAATGGTTAACAAAGTTAACACTATAGTTTGGGTTAACATTTGAACCAAGCTCTTTCTCTCTCTCTCTCTCTCTCTCTATATATATATATATATATAGAGAGAGAGAGAGAGAGAGATAGAGAGAGAGATGAACGATCAAATGCAAACCACCCATATTTGTACAAACCGTGCAAACCACCCTCATCCGGCGATTTAATTATTTAAATCTTATGAAATTTTTTCATAAATTGTTTAATCTTATGAAATTGTTTCATATAATACTTTTTTTTGATGAAATTGTTTCATATAATACTTTTGTTTTTTGATGAAGTTGTTCCATATAATACTTATGAAATTTTAATGAAACTCTTTCATGTATTTCTTTAAAATTAATATAATAAAGATGATAATATCCATGATTAATATACTCCACAATAAAAATGATTAACCAACTTCTCATAATAACAAAATAATGAACAAAATGAAAAATTAAGACTAATTCTCAACCGTTGGATTAGATCTACAATCTAAACATTCATAATCACAAAATTGTCACGAGACTTCTCAATAATCACAAAATTGCCACCGTGCAACTTTAGACCATTAGATCATTAGTTTATAAAGTTGATCAATGAACATAAATTGGTCTTACGGGTCTCACGAAAAAACCCTTGGTCTCACGTGAACTCAACCCTATATAAATGTTTATATATTATGATATTAATATATAAAATCAATAATATATATATATATTATATATATATATATATATGTTTATATATTATGACATTAATATGTAAAATCAATAATTAAATTAAGTTTTTCACAATCATATTTTTATCCCCCCTAAATTTACCAAATTTTACATTTTGTTATGTTATTTTAGAGGAATGAGGTGATAAGTAACGTGGTTGTTTTTTGTTCATTTGTATCTGTTTATTTATGTTCACTTATGTTTTTTAAGTTTGTTCGTTTAACATCATAACCAACGAACACAAACAAACAAATTTTCTTAACGAATGAATATAAACACAAAAAATTTCGTTCGTTTAGCATCTTAACAGACAACTGCTAGCAAACACCTTTTCTTAACGAACGAATTGAAATACAAAGAAATTTCGTTCATTTGTACAGTTAAGTTAAACGAAAGAACATGAATACAAAAAGTTTCATTCGTTTAACGTTCATGTTCATTCGTTTAACGTTCATGTTCATTCGTTTATTCGATTAAATTATATGAACGAATATAAACAAGTCTCCGTTCGTATTCGTGTTCGTTTATGGCCCTAGATAGTCGGATTTATTTTGAATTGTTAAATCAATCAATTCAATGTGTTTATTAAGGGGCCTTATGGCAATTTATATTAACAGATTGGGCCCAACTTTATTTCAAATTGTAGAGGCCCAATCCTTGTAATGAAAAGAGCAAGTACTAAAGAGAAATTACTGCAAATTTATGAAACTTCAAGGGTGCTTATTGTAATTATGTGTAGTCGTGATACTTATCGATCAGATCAGGCAGGAAGGAAACGTAAAACCACCAGTCCCACCTCCGTGGCCTCACAACTCCGACCATTATCGTCACCGGCTAAGCAGCTCCGTTTGATTGCTGATAACTGGTAATATTTGAAATCGTTGTTTGTAGCTTTTATTTTGATTCTATTTAGGGTTTATAGCTTATCAGTCACAGTTATTTTTTACTCCTTCCTCTCCGAAATACTCGAGCATTTTGCTCAAAACGTGAAGGTTGAGAATCTGTTAATCCATTTGGCATGTTAATTACTGTAAATCACTACTAGTGTATTATTTATGAGAATTGAGATTCATTTTCTGTCACCAAATGTTCGAGAGAAGATTACGTTTTGTAGAAAAAATCGAGCTTCTGAGTGAGAGATTTTAAGATGCATTTGACTAGCTTAAATTAAAGACTACGAGAAGAAATTTATCACGGAAAACGATTAATATTGTGCTTGCTTTTTTGTTATATGCATTAGATAAGAACCATGAATGGTTGTGAGTATTGCTCAAATCTCAAATAACAAGATCCAAAGGGTTCATCTAATGTGAGGATTGAGAGAGATGGAGGCAGTATTCTAGATTTATAAAGAAGTTTTTCTAATATTATTGTGGGGTACTTTGATCACTTATTAGTGCATCTTCTAGTCATCTACCCTGTCTTGATGATTACATCCTCAATAACTCACAGAAAGGTTCAATATCATGAACCAGAATTGTCGTTGAACATAATTAGTTCTTCTGTTGTTATGTCAAAAGGAATCTTTAATGGTCATGTAAAGCTTGATTCTGTGAGGACCTATGTAACTACACCGTGTTTTGTATTTCCCGATATGGTTTTACTGTCTATGGTTACCTTTAGAAATGTAACATTGATGACCAAGGGAAAATCTTATCGACCTAAAATGTGGTTTTTGCTTACTTCTTGTTCAAGTTTGTTAATTGTTGTAAACTTATCATGTAAACCAGTTGAAAACTATAATAGGTCAGAGATGGCTGTACCTTGTCCTATTACAGTGTTTTTGAAACTTTTCACAAGTATTGATAGTTAATGAAACTCATTAACTAGCTTTTGCTGCTACCAGTTATCACTTCCACTTCTGTGTTTGTCTTGCGGACTAATGTTAACACCATGACCTTAATTACTGTTAATGAAAAAGTGGAAGAATCTGCTAGACCTATCTTTATAAAAACTAGGTTAAAATATCTTATGAAATCCTGAGTTTGAGTCTCTTACTTGTGGATTGCCTAGTGAATTACCAGGATGTGTAATTGGGTAGGTGGCAGAATCTTGCACCGTTCCCCCTCCCCCCAAATAAAATAAAAAATAAAAAAATAAATTACGCATCTTTTGGGGTGATGCTTCCTGGGCCTTCAAAGTATTAACAGTATTGCAAAATTCTGGATTTCAAAGTTTACTTGTCTGTCAAATTAAATCTTCTTCGAGTTCGATCTGTACATGCATTCTTGCTCTATAAATTTGACTTATTTTCAGGGGAAATGCTACACATATTCAACAAAAATGAGCACTGGTTATCAAATGAAATTCTCTCTGTTAGTTGTTCAAATGTGAGCGAGTGGCTTGTTCACCTTTTTTTTCTGTAACCCATGGGATTTTGGTTCAGTTTATGTACATTAGCTGGGATAGAAGTTTTGGTCCAAAATTTTGTTGCTAGCATGAGCAGCATCATGAAACTGGCAGTTAGGATTTTCTATGTCATTTTGCATGCATTCATGGCCTGTGGGACCATATAAAGCGAGTTATGATCAGAGAAGGGAAATGTATTCACTTCATTTTTACTGAATCAGCCGGAGCTTTATGCAGTAGAGGTTGCTGCTCTTTTACAGTTTTACTTGTAGTACAGTGTGTGGTTGTAGAGAAGGTGATAGATTGTCCATTAATTATTTGTCAAATTTTTAGTATAACTCTCTGTGAGCTTCTCTTATTCTTTTCTCAGCAATCTTGCTTTTATTACATCTTTCTGACCATTTTGGGTGCAGAACAATCAAGAAAGAAGAGTGAAAATGGTGCCAGCCAGCCTTCCAAAAACAAGTGGATTACGCTTGCTTTCTTACTGCAATCAAAGCTACAGTGGTGGTATTGCTTTTCGTCCTCTGCTTTCCATATGCTCTTCTGCATCATATTACTACTCTGCAGCAAAGGCATATGGACAACAAAGGAGGAATAATAGTTGCAATGATATATCAATTGCAAATACTCCATCTCTTTCTCTTTCTATATCTTCACTCGGGCGAAAAGAGGCATCATGTGTGATATCAAAATCAAGCAGAACATTTTGCACAGCCTCAAGTGTAGCTGCAGATCCTTCTACTCCCCCAACTTCCTCAGATGATAACAAAGCAAAAGATGAGGGTGTTGTTGATATGATGAAAGTAAAAGATATGGCAAATACACTAGACATAAGGGTAGGGAAGATCTTGAAAGCTTGGAGACACGAAGAGGCGGATTCACTTTATGTCGAAGAGGTAGACATTGGTGAACCTGAGCCAAGAATAATCTGTAGTGGGCTCGTGAAATACATCCCACTTGATGATTTACAGGATAAGAGTGTTGTGGTTCTGGCTAACTTGAAACCCAGAAACATGCGTGGGGTGAAGTCGTCTGGAATGCTTATGGCTGCTTCTGATGCATCACACGAGAACGTTGAGCTCCTTGAGCCACCTGAGGGCGTGGTCCCAGGAGAGAGGATATGGTTTGGGACCGGAGATGAGAAAGATACACTACCAGAAGCTGCATCGCCAAACCAGATCGCGAAGAAGAAGATATGGGAGCAAGTGCAACCTCATCTGTGCACAAATGCATCTTCTGTTGCTACATTAGGAGGTACACATCTGATGCTAACTTCTGCTGGTTCAGTGGTAAGCAAAACTTTGATAAATGCAAATATAGCATGATCATCACATAATGAAACCTCAAATTGGTACAAATAGCACTTCGGTTCTATAAGATTGTGATTTATTGCTATGTAATTGCGGCTTAGTGGATCAAGTTTTTTCATCCATCTTTAACTCTATAACTGACTGGTATGCTATTTTTTGCCTCCTTTAAGTTTAGTGTATACTTGGATACTGGTTTTCCTAGAAAATTCTCAAAATGTGTGTATTTCACTATTTTGGGCCACCTCATGATTGCATAAATGCAAGTTCTTAACTCCCAGTTTACTCGTATTTATGTAAGACTTTCGGGTGTATAAACACTTAAAGACTAAACACGAGCAGATTTCTGTCACAAAAAAGCATTGCGACAACTCGTATAAACACTATTTCAGACAACTTTAGGAGAAGCTGTAATTCATGGTTGGGGGAGGAAACCATTCGCCCTAAACAAAAGAAGATTTGCTTAGAATACGGGGAATCTTGTAAGATCAGAGCCATCATTCAAGGTTAGGATCAATAGACAACATAGTAGAAAGATTCTATTGTAATTATACATCTATCATAGTTTCACAAGCGGGTCTTCATGGAAACAACCATTTCTCTTTGAGGTTGATGTCAAGTCTCCCTCCGGAGTCGACCCCACCTACAAGTGGGATATACCGAGTTTGTTTTGTTTGGTTTATCTTGTAACCTTTTTGAAGAGTTGTGGACGATCTTTTACATGGCCCTACAAATGCAATCGTGTTGGCCGAAACACGCATCTATCTTGTGTCTCTTTGTATTACTTTTTATGATGCCAATTGTAAAATCTTTTCTACCCAACTATTGTTATTGACACTGCATGACACTGCATGACACTACAGGTTTGAATTTATACCAGATCCCCTATCGTTTCATTTTGTTTACACCATTCGTCTCTCCTCCTAACGTCAATTAAGAGCATTTGTGAAGTGTTCTCAAGTGAGGATATTTTGGTCATTTTGCAACTTGTTAAAAATTAATGTACAAGGCAATAAAACATATGCATAAGTATGTAATGCATTTGGAAAAGATAAACCTAACTGTAAACCAACCCCTCTTCAATTCTAAGGCATGACTCCTCCATTGCTGTCATCCCCATCGCTGCTCCTCGCGGTCACTCACTCCCTCCACCTACAACACCATCCTAACCTTATATTTTACCACTGTCACCACCACCACCACCACCACCACCACAACATACAACGACCTCATCCTTATTAACTACACTCACAATGTTGTGAAGCAAAAGAGTTAGGGCATTTCCGTTCTACAAGGAGATAGTTAGTTAGAATTACGTTCATTTCATGAATTAATAAAAAGAAGAAATCATGAGAAAATACATCAAAAAGACCATGACACAAGGTATTCATAGCAAAACAATCTTCATGTATGTACAAAGAGGGTTTAAAAGTTGAACATAACTAATTAATTTACCATAGCATGGTTATGATGTGTGTATCACATAACCATAAAGGTAATGCTAGCAAAGATTTTATAAATCTTTGTCAACTCGACCACCAAATATTAATCAATAATCCTTGTCTTCTAGTGAACCCAAGCCTTGGCTTGGGGCTCATCTCCAAAGGTCACCGGTTTGAGTTTCTCAAAAGCCACCGGAGATTTTATCGACTGTTCTTCAGGAACCCATGGGATTGGTCGTAGTCTGTGGAAGGTGTGAATGTCTTCTTTTTCTGAAGTCTCCAGGCAATGTCCATCCAAGAATCTAGGCTCCAAAATTGTATGCTCATACAAAAAAAAGAACACCTGGAAGAAAACTATGAGGTTGAAAGCATGTGCTAGTAATTGTAATTGTAATTGTAATAAGTTTAAGAATATATTACATATAGGTAATATCATCAACAAAAAAGATGGAATGTACTTGACGTTGGTTGGTCATATGTGATGTCTTTCTCTATAGTAAAACAAATACTGGTTATATATGCTTCGGGAAACACAATGAAGATATTATTAATATTCCGAAAAACAAGAAATCCATCAAAACCAATCAATACAAAGACTGGGGCCATATATTCACTTTTGTCTTCACTCAAATCTCCTAGTCCTACGAAACCCAAGAACTCGCAATGGCACCAGGTTATTTCAACTAGCCTATCGAGAAAAATACATGTAAATGGAACTACAATTGAAAGGCGACCATATATATAAAAAAATCTAGTCCAAAGATATAACAATTTCTCAGCCAATCCTCGATCTTAGCTGATCACAGTCTCCTATCACACATACTCATTCCACAACCAATGGAACATAGGAAAACATTTGGGACTTCAACTATGGGATTCCAGGCAATACAATCAATTACCATATTTGCATTCTCCGAGATGGTATATAGTTTCCTAGATGCTAAGGAGAAGACTGGCCTTTTCAAGACCAGATGAAATTAAACAATAATTCTCAAAGAAGATACAAAAACACCAACATATAACACAAGCAATGCTTGGAGCATAGCTTCAATGATCTAATGAATCAAGTATCTATGAATACATGATTGAGCATGTTATATTCTCAACGGCATGGTTATGAAATGTGCCTGATTTAATTATGCGTGAAATGCAAGTAAAGTATTGTAAAAGGGCATCTCAGCTCAAACATCCGATGTTAAACAATGATCCTCGACTCCTAGTAAACCAACAAAAAGCCATGCCAAGGCAAAACAAAACATTATACTCTCCCTTTGTAAGAATCTTCATGAGGGTCCATATATATTTTATAGCAAGAAATTCCTACAAAGAATCATTATTGTATCTATGGTATCTTGGTTATGAAGAAGCATCCCATGCCAAATCTTTATTCCTTTGAACTTTATGTAGAAGTTCTACTGTATCTTTTCTCCCTAGATATCACCTCCATATCGAGCCCTGTAATCAAATTTTGGTGCTATATATATCAACTCAATAGAAATTTCATTATATTCACACAACCCACTCAAGCAGCAACTACATAAACACTTTAAAACATCATTCAAGTGTTGCATCTGTTAGGAAGGCACGTGCACAGACAAATGGGCACTGCAGCAGCTGGGATGATGTTTCATTGTGTTTTTGAAGGCAGCCTATCAATGTCTGGAACGGACAAAGAGCGAAGACCGTACCACAAAGACTGCAGCTGTGCGTTGCACAAGGCAAAAGATGAAACCCCAAGAGCTTGTATCCATCACTGGAGAATTTCTTACTCAAAGAAACCGTTATGGAACAAGTGTGCGCTGACCAAAACCACTTTCTCAAGCCCCATCGGATCTTCTAGTCATTGTGGCTAGCAAGATGGAAAGACGACAGAGCCTTTATTATGGCCACATCAAAGTGATAGAAACTTGATGGTGCCGTTTGTTGTTTAGGTGGGTTCACATGGTTCCTATGATATTTTAAATGTGGAACTAAAATTGTTAGGGTACGTGCATGTACTGAACAATTGGAGCACTCTCGGTCCAATTCACACCACCTACCGCGAGCTTTTCACAACCCCATCAAATGAAGATGCATGTTGGACGACATTGGAGGCCCGCTCAAGTTCTATTCTATGTCCTAAAATCTTATACTCCCGCTAGCTGCATGCTTCGTTGTGATGGAGAGATACAAATGGGAAAACCTGGAAACAAGTGGTTGCCTGGATACAATAAATTTCGACAGGAATGATGCTTGGCATGAAAACATCACTCTGTCGGTCTCTAAAGATCATGAACTTTATATTCACAGATTAACAATGAGTCGTTTTCACACGATTGAGATGGTCTAAGGTCAGCTCTCTGTAATCTTATCAAAATGTGAGGGTCTTTACAGTTGTCTTCTGGGTGCGGCATCTTGTTAAGGAATTGATAGTTGTTGCCTATACTGTGCGTTACAAGTTCACCCAAAGGGACACTCAAGAAAAGGGTTGTTTAGCACACTTAAACCTAATAATTCATGCATGTACAGCTTAGGTAAGCCTGGCCCCTTCACTTGGTTTGATTATGATGCAAATAGAAATGCCTATATCGAACAAAGATGCATGTTGGACGACATTAGAAGCCAGCTCAAGTTCTATTCTGTCTTCAAATCTTGCACTGTCGGCAGCTGTCTATATTGTTATTGATACATAAATAGCTGTAGTCAAGTTTAATTCTCACAAATGGTAGTTCAATAGTCTAAATGTCGTGAACATTTGAAGGATTATTTTCGATTCTTTTATCTTAAACATGTAAACAATGATTCAGATTGTGTAAGGTAAGACAACCAACACAAATGATGCCACAAGTGCTTATTCTACCAGTAGAGAATTATCATAGTCAAGGATTTAAGACTCTTGGCCACAAGCTGGCATGACATCCCCAAGTGAGATCCATGTCGCATAGAAAAAGACAGCAACTCCACATAATGAATATGCTTCTTTACGATGCTAAATATGTTTGGTTCATGAAAAGACAGAAACATTGACTACGACAAACTTCTACATCCCTTCCAAGGAAGTCGAAAAGCTAGCAACATAGAAATATAAATAAGTCAAATTTGCAACTTCTAAGTAGTTGAATACTAAAGGAACAATGACAATGCTTCCAAAATCACTACTTTGTGAATGTCCTTCCAGAGATTCCAGGAAAGAGTGCTAAAGTAAAGCCGGTAAAACCGTAGCAATAATGATCACACACAACAAGCCAAAATGTTGGAGTTACTTTTGGTGTGTGTCATTAGTATATTAGAAAAGATGCCAAACTTCATGAGCTTCGGCAATTACAGAGTTGCAGGCATCTAGAGAAAAAACTTGATGCCGTGTGTTAGTCTTTCAGTTGCAGTAAGCTTGAGAATCTATCACGCATAGGTAATATCATCAACAAAAACACGGAACATGGTTATTGTTGGTTATAAGACGATTGCAAATATTCATATTCCAAGCATCTTTTCTCCCTAGAAAACAAACACGAGATTTTTAGGTGTATAACACCAATCTGTCCATACCCGTATTCAAATTCTGATACTATTTATACCCAAGCAACACCTCCAACATAAACACATTAAAACAATATCATTCAAGTGTTGCATTTTCAGACTTGCATGTACACACACAAAAACAAATGGCCACCAGAGCAGTTGGCAGTTGGGATGATGTTTCATTGCAGTTTTGAAGGAGCCTATCGATGTCCGAAATGGACAAAGAGCGTAGATTGTACCATAAAGACTGCAGTTGTGCCTTGCATAAG